TGGGACCTGGGTACCAGATTATAATCTCTAGAAAGTCTGAGGAGACCTCAAAGCAGATCCTTAGCCTTAGAGGATGTAATAGGTAGGGGCTAGAGATGTAGCTAGGTGGTGGAGCATGTGCCCATCCCTCTGGGATCAGTACCAGTCAGTGGAATGGTAGGAGTCAAGACAGAAAGCAGTCTGGGTGGTTCATTTTGACTGTCAACTTGATTAGATTAAGAGAGGCTTTAGGATTAATGAAGCAAAGGTTTGGAGACGTCTGTGAGGGTGTTTTCCGGAAACAGTTTACAAGATGAGGACTCTGCCTCAATGCATAAGTTGGTGGATTCATCATCTGGTGGCATCTTTGGGAGGTGCTGAAAGGTAAGAGGCAGGCCTTCTTGAAGGAAGTACGACACACGGAGCATGTCCCTGTGGTATGCCTTGTAGTGCCGTCTTCCTCTACCCATTTGCTCTGTTTCCTAGTTCCCTTCCCCACCCCCTTCCTCTGCCTCCTAGCTTTCATGAAGAAGCTCCTTTTGCCATGGGGTCCTGTCGCCATGTTTTATCCCAGCACTCAGGGGGCTAAGTGACCCAACACTCTGAGACCATAAGCCCAAACCAAATCTTTCCTCCTCTGTGATGCTTCTATTAGATATTGTGACAATTATAAGAAAAGAAAGGAGCTGCCCCGGGGATGGGACCTTCCCTAGAGGGATAAGGCAGGTGAGCAAGGGACATAAATCAAGTCAGGGCAGAGCCAGCACCCTCCTGACTCAATACCCAGCAGGCTCTGCGCTGGCTGTTCTATAGATAGCAGGAAACAAAATAGCCAACTCTTTGCCCTTGGGAAGCTGGAGTCCAAGGAGAAGAAAAACAAGGAAATGTAGAACGGCTGAGGATAAACACTACAGGAAACCTGAGATGCCTAAGGGAGATGGTAGGGCTGGTGTTGATGGCGGTGGTTGCCGGTCCCTGTAAGGTCGTCAAGAAATGCTACAGGATATTTGAGTAGAGACTTGAGGGAGAAAAGGACCAAGCTTGTGAATGCAGGGAAATGAGGTTCCACGAGCCAAGGAATAGCCGTTGCTAAAGCTCTGAGGCAAAGGGGTACTTGGAGAGTTGAGGAATAGCAGAGAGGTACGTTCACAAGCTGGGTCTCCAGAAAGCAGTGTCTGAGGTGGCATTCGGAACACATAATGTTTATTAGGAAATTATCATAGGGCAGAGAAGCAGGAGAGAAAGGAGTAATCCTGCGCAGAAGATGAGCCTCGTGGCACAGTGGATGTTTTCAAAACCCACATAGAGGGACTTGAGGACCCAGTGACTGGTGAGAGGCGTTTCCGCTGGGAAGAGCCAGGCAGCCTTGCACTCTGTCATCCAGTTCGAGTGCTGCTGTGTGGGAAGGGCCTGCGATGAGAAGCTTCGGGAAGCCCTTCTTTTCAGCCAAGAGAACTGAGCTCCAGAATATTCCAGTGGGTAGGATTAGGGAGATCAGGAAAAAATAATAAAGAGCAATCCTGAAGTGGAGGAGGAGCATCAGATAATGATGGTCAAGAGGCCAATTGAAGAAAGGATTCTGCCCTGTGTAGTGGGCACCTTTAATCCCAGTTCCTGGGAGGCAGAGGCAAGCAGATCTCTTGAGTTCAGGCCTGGACTGCATAGTGAGTTCCAAGACAGCCCAGGATACACAAAGAAACCCTGTCGTGAAAAGAAGAAAAGAGTTTGGAGCAGAGAGAGAGAGTAATGGGCCATTGTGAGGGCAATTTAGGCGAGACTGAGCTGTGTTCCTGGTTGGTGTCCCTGGACAAAGCATCGTAAGAGATGGTAACCTATTTTAAATGGAGTCAAGATATAACAGAGAGAAAAATTAGTATAGACAACTTCTGAAGGGATTTGTGGGGAAACAGGAACAAAGAGAAGGGGAAGTAATCTGAGGAGGTTTGAGATCAGGTGTGTGCCAGCAAGTCATAGGTTCCTGGTTCTGGCTGACTCTGGGCTGAGCCAAATCTGTGGGTGGTACTACAGTTTGGAAAATTCAGTGTTAAAGGTGTGGTTCCCCAGCACATGACACTTTTGGAAGGTGGAGGAACCCTTGAAAAGTGGAGCCTAGTGAGAAGTCTTCTGGTTATTAGGCGTGCCCTTTAAACAGCTATTGGTACATCCGTCTTCTCCTCTTCCTCCCTTTCCTGTTCTGGTCCTGAGGTGAACATTTAGCTACATTCACCAACACACTGCACTGCCTCACCCAGGCCCGGAAGCAACAGAGCCGATGAGGGTGATCTGAACCTCCAAAACTGGGAACTAGGGACATGGAGCAGCTGGATAGTGCTGTGCACGCATGAGGACCTGAGCGTGAATCTGCAGCACACACATAAAAAGCCAGGCGTGGCGGCGCACACGGGCAGACCCCCGTGGCTCACAAGGCCAGCCAGCCTAGTGGAATTGGTGAGCTCCAGGTTCAGTGGGAGACCCTGTCTCAAAAGATAAGGTGGAGAAGTGATTGGGGAGGACATCCAAAGGCAGCCATGGGCCTGCACAGAAAAGAGCACATATGAGTATGGATGCATATCTCTCTCTCTCTCTCTCTCTCTCTCTCTCTCTCTCTCTCTCACACACACACACACACACACACACACACACACACACACACACACACACACTAAAAAGAAAAATAAAAGGAACCTCCCAAACTGGGAGCCAAGGGAAGCTTTTCTCTTTGCACACTGCTTGATTGTCTCGGGTGCTTGTTACAGTCAAGCTGACTAATGCGTGTAGGCACAAGGGGGCAACTGAGTAGAGTTTAGTGGAACGGGAGAGGAGACCAGCATGTGTGGTGTGTGTGGCCAGTAGAGAAAGGGGAATGGGAATGCACACATGTTTCTCTTCATCCAATAAATGGATTCCTACAGAGGCTGACAAGTTGGATAGGGACCCGGTTTTATGGAAAATATGTGCTTATTTTAACTATACTGGAGGAATTATTTAAAAGAAAACAGTGGAGATTTTTAACATGAATGATCTCTAAATAGAGCTAAACTATAAGAATTTCCATGTATCCATTTTTCCAAACCTGGGTACACCTCTAATCACATTTCTACTTCTCTACCTAGCACAGAACTAAAAAGCCCTTACATAATATTTTCTTCAAATTGTCACAGAGATTTGTTTAAAAAAAAAAAAACACAAAACTCGAGGCCATCACAATACAGCTGTGAGATGAAAGCATAGCGTGTGTTTTCAAAGGCGAAAACATGGAGCAGGAGAGTTATTTTCCAGATGTTGCAGAATAAATGCCCAGCCAAGCCTGGCAGTGAAGCAGGGACTAAGAATTCAAGGGCACAAAGCCAGTCTCCCTCAGGTCCTAAAGGAAACACATGTCAGGAACAATGGCAGTGTTTTCCAGGTTTCGGGGAGGGCCTTAAGAAATTAAAAGACCAGGAGGCTGGGGAGATAGATGACTTTGTTGGTAAAGCACCTGCCATGCAGTCCTGAGGACCTGAGTTCAGATCCCCCAAACCTGTTACAGCCAGGTGCAACAGCATGCTCCTGTAACCCCAGTGCTGGTGGGAAGAGATGAGCACTTCCCTGGATGGAGCTCACTGGCCAGCCAGCCTAGCCAAATCTATGAACTCCAGGTCAGAGAAAGAGTGGTTCAAAAAAATCAGTGGCAGGCCAGTGAGGTGGCTCTGCAAAGTCCAAGCACTGTACAACCCTGATAACCTGAGTTCAGTCCTTGGAATTCCCTGTGAAAGGAGAGAACCAACTCCAAAAAGTTGTATTCTGATCTCCACATGCAGGCTATGGCACACTCATGCCTGCTCCTGCACACGTACATGTGCACACACACAATAATAATAGCAATAGTAATAATAATACAATTTCTAAAATACAGTGGTGAGAGATTGTGGAAGACCCTTAATGCCAATCTTTGGTCTCCACATACTCACATACATACCCACACGCACACACATGTACACACATGTACACATACACACGCACACACACCATTTAAAGATCAGCATGTAATAAAATATCAGTGTGTGGAACACACCTGATCACAACATGGGAATGGGTACAAAGGACATGCATACCCCAAAATGCCCACACACAGGATAGGGGGACAATTTTGGTTTACAATAAGAATCTGGTGCTTAGAAAGTCAAGGCTGGACCATGTCACCTTGAGAGTGACAACCTCGAGATGAGGAAGCTACCGCAGCCCTTTCCACTTCCCTAAATGAATGGCCTCTATCATTCTTAAGGTTTTACCTGAAATATCATTTAGTCGAGAAAGATTTTTCCATCCCATAGGGCAGCATTATTCCATCTAAATCCAGTTATGGAGTGACTTAAATGACGAGGTACAAATATATCTAACAAAGTATGTAGACATCTTACTTAATGAGGTACTGTGGCAGCTGTATATAGCTATTTCATGAGTCGATGGTGTAGATTTGAAAGACTAACGTAATATAAGGCCCTGTGACTCCCAGAGTCACTGTGATTTAAAGTATGCAATTAATTGGTATGGAGTGGACAGGGCTTCTGCAGACAAAGCCCCCTCCTTCCGTTCCTCTGGGACTTTAATAACTGTCACCAGAGGCACCAATCCTGAGTGCCCTATGTAAAATAGCCAAGTGTGATGGTTCATTATCACTTGACTGTATTTATAATCACACACCATTCTGTGTGTCTATGAGGGCATTTCTGGATTTAACTGACCAGGGAAGACACCCCCTGAACGTGAGTGACACCATTCCATGGGCGAGGGTCCTAGACTCAGTAAAAAAGAAAAACAGGAAAAGCAAGTGTTCATCTTTTTGCCTCCTGCTCCTCCCATATGTGAACGGCCACACACTCCTCCTGCCAGGCCTTCCCCGCCATGATGGACTGCACCTTCTTGACCTGCAGGACAAAATTAACCCTCCCTCTGTGAACTGGTTTTCTGCCCAGCATTTTTGTGACAGCAATGAGCAAGGAACTGCTCTTCACCGCAACACAGGTCGCACAGTCTCTAACCTTTTGCTTTGCCTGTTTTCCAGACATGGTCTCTTCTGATGTTTTTCCATGCTTGCTTGCCTATTGGCTGACTATCTCTTTCCCACGAGAGCCAGGAATCTGTTTTGCTCACTGTTGCATCTCCAGAACCTGGAAGAATGCTGATAAACCGTAGATGTTCGGTAAGTGTTCAATGAATGAATGAGTCCATCTGTCATTGTCAGCTATGAGGAAAGCAGGCCGCTGGGGTACAACTTGACTCCTCACAGCTTAGCTCCCAGGCCTCGGGAAATAAAAGGACTCACCATCTTCTTGCCCCTTGTTTCTCTTTCTGTGGCTTCTCCTTTGCTCTTTGATCTCGGATCTGTTTTTCCACTTCTTATATCTTGTCCCCGCTTTGGTTTGCTGGTCCCTCTTAGATGAAATCAATCCCCCTCGGAAACAGCCTGCCCCCACAGGCAGGCTCCAGCTGCTGTCCCTTGGCACTCGCTGTCCATTGGAGCATCTATCCCATATGCTGAGGTTTGAATGTGAGGACAGCCTTCCTCTCCCTCCACCTTCACACTCTTCTTGTCTACTGCTGACATACAGAAACACGCCTCCACACACCAGGGGTGACTATCATGAACCTAGTTCTCTATTTTTACAATTACGTGGTTCACTTTCAGTAGAGACGATTTAGCATAAATCAGTTGCTGGTTGACTCCAGTAAAGGAATGTAACGGAGTTGCTTTGGGCTGTGGTTTGAATATAAAATGTACCCCCAAAGGGTCTCATGCTTGAACATTACTTGGGAAGGTTAGGGACCATTTAGGAGGTGGAGTCTGCATGGAGGAAGTATGTCAATGGGGGTAGGCTTCGAGGATTTTGTACTCTACCCACTCACCCTCCCTCCCTCCCTTCTTCCCTCCCTCCCTCCCTTCATATCCCCCCCCCTCTCATTGAAGAAATGTAATCAGTCTGCTTCATGCTGCTGCTATGTGACTTCCTCACCATGGCGGACTGTACCTGCTCTGGAACTGTAAACCAAAATAAACGCTTTTCTCCTCTAAGTTGCTTTTGTCAGGGCAGCTATCACAGGAACAGAAAGGTAACTACTGTGTTGCCATTCTCTCAGAATTCTCATCTTAGTTCGTAAGAAGTGTCCTCTGTGCCCTCTGTGTGCTGGGTAGTCTAACATTGTAGCATTTCCCCCCTTGTCTGGGGATTAAACCCAGGGTTTTTTTGTTTTTTTTTTCTTATGTAGACAAGTGCTCTGCCACCTGAGCTGGTCCATGTGAAGATATTGCATCATTATAACTTTATTTCACACAGATGTAAAGTGGCACAAATCGGTCAATCCTCCCCACCCATCTATCTGAGAAAAAACAAAAAAAGGGCAAATGAGAGTTGAATGCCATTCTGCAACAAAAAAAAGGGTTTTTTTGTTTGTTTGTTTGTTTAATTTTGTTGTTGTTTTACATTATGTTTTACATAAACAGGTATAGTTGCTGTGGGATGTCTTTCTGTATACTGTGAATATGTGTTGCTCTGATTGGTTGATAAATAAAGCCACATTGGCCTATGGCAGGGCAGGATGGAGCCAGGTGGGAAAATCCAAGGGAGATAGTGAAAGGAGAAAAGAGAGGCAGAGAAAGATGCCATCCCGCGTCCAGGGAGCAACATGTAGTGGCACACAGGTAAACCCATGGAATACATGACAACATACAGATTAATAGAAATGGGCTGAGTTTAGTTATAAGAGCTAGCTAGCAAGAAGCTTGAGCTATAAGCCATGGCCATAAATTAGTAATTAATATTAAGCCTCCGAATGATTATTTTAGAAGCAGCCATGGGACTGAGGGGCCAAGTGGGACACAGGAAAACCTCTGACTACAGATAGTCTCTGAAATGTACATTTTAAATTCAGACCTCAAGAAATTACCAGAAGTAGATTTCTAAGTTGTATGAGCTCACCAATAAACCATCTCAGCTCATGCAGCCATCCTGCAGAACAGCCAGAAAACTATGAATGATAGTCACTATTGAAGAAGGGCCTGTGCATTATTTGATCTCTAGCAATGTTTCAGCACATTTTTAAAGGAAATTGGCAAGCTCATTCTAAAATCTGTATGGAAATGTCACAACGAAACCCATTGTTTCGTATGAAAATTTTTCAAAAATTATTTTAAAATATATGGAATTTTTCAAAGGACATGGAGGAACCAAGAATTTTAAGAAATAGAACAAAGTTGGGCAAATTACACTGACTAATTTCAACACTAATTTCAAAGCTACAGGAGTCAAGATAGTGCAGTATGGGGAAAGAGAGATGAATGATTAATGGACTAAAATGGAGCTGAGAAAGCTTCAGTCTAATATATGGTCAATTGCCTGTTAACAAAAGTGCCAGTAATTCAAAGTGCAAAGGCTTTTTCAAATACAGTGTGTTGGAAAACAGGATACCCATACAGAGAAAGCATGAACCTTGAGTTTAAGTTCATACCATGTACAAAATTGGACTTGAAATAATCACACGCTTATACCTTTAAAAAGCTGGAATTATAAAAGCACTAGAAGAGGGGGTTGGATATAGCTCATTTGGTAGAGTACTTGTCTACCATGCACAAGGCTCTGGGTTTGATCTCTTACACTGTACAAACCTGGTCTGGCAGCACAACCCAATGACTCCAGCACTCTAAATGGATAGGTAAGAACATCAGAAAGTCAAGGGCACATCTGACTACCTAGTGAGTTTTAGGTAGCCTGGGTTTCATGTGACTGTCTCAAACTTCTACAAGAATAGATGAATTAATCCCAGCACTTGGGAGGCAGAGGCAGGGGAATCTCCATGAATTGAGGCCACCTTGGTCTGCAGAGTGAGTTCCATGACAGCCAGGGCTACACAGAGAAACCCTGTCTTGAAAAAAAAAAATCTTTACATTCTCATGCTGGTGTGAAGATTGTTAGATGGGACACAAAGATGTGAACAATACAACTAAAAATTAATAAATTAAACCCCATCTTAGTTTCTCTTCCTGTTACTGTGGTAAAATAAGCTGACAAAAACAGCTGGAGGAAAAGGGGTTTATTTCAGCTTACAGTTCTAGAGATACAATCTACCATGGGGAAGGGTGGGGGGGCAGCAGAAGAGGAAATTGTCTACTTTCAGGAAGCAAAGTGTGAACAGGAAACAAGACTGGGCTACAAGGCCTCAAGGCTTGCCACCTACAACCACTTCCTCCAGTGAGAATCCACTCCCTAAAGGTTTCATAACCCCGCAACAGCAGGGCCAGCTAGGAACCAGGTGTCCAAACCCATGAACCTACAGGAGCTACTTTACATTCAAACCGTAACAACTCCACCCTTTTAACATATATATTGGAAAAGACTTGTAGCTATAATATATAAATAACTCTTAAGATCAACAATGAGAAGACAAGACTCAATTTTTAATATCTGGATAAAAGATTTAAACAAATGTTTTACCAAAAAAAGATATGAAATTGGCCAATAAGAACATGAAAAATGGCCAATATTTCTGTTCACCACATTAAGATAAAAACTACAGCAGGGGGCTGGAGCAATTACTAATGGTTAAGAGCACTTGTTGCTCTTTCAGAGGACCCAGGTTTGATTCCTAGCACCCACATGGGGGCTCACAACTGTCTGTAATGCCAATCCCAGGAGATCCAAAGCCCTCTTCTGCCCTCCTATGGCACCAGGCACACAAAACACCCACATAATAATAATAATAATAATAATAATAATAATAATAATAAAAAGTTTTTTAACTACAATAAGATACTACTGTACAGCTTCTAGAACAGCTAGAATTTTATATCTGATAACATCGGGTTATGGCAAGGTAGAAGAGCCCCTGGAGATAAGAGAAATTCAAAATGGTACAACCACTTTGGAAAATAGCTGGGCTGCCACTTATAAACTCACATTAGTCATATGACCCAGCAGTTCCACTCCTAAGAGAGATGAAAACATGTCCACGTAAGAACTCATAAACACTGGGTGTGATGGCTCACACCTTTAATCCCACTTAGGAAAGGGTACAATGCAGAATCGGCGATACCAAAGGCCAGAGAGTGAGAAGGAACAGGGGAGAATATTTTGTGATGATAGAAATATTCAAAATCTTGTTTATGATGATGATCACATGAAAGTGTATGATAATGATTTTCCTAAGTGGGGCATTTTATAGGTGACTTATAGTTCCATTATATAGATCTTACCTTTAAAAAAAGTATTGAAAATAGGAAGTTGGAAAAGAATGAAATGCAGTGTCTGGAAATGAAACATAATTTTGGGAGAACTCTTAAGCAGCCTGACCAGCCAGGTTTAGCGACCCATCCTAACATGCCAAGGGAACAAATATGTCCATAGGCAGAGAAAAGAGAGTTAATCAATGTGGCTACGCTGGAAAGTCCAGATGAGGTGGGGGGATCCCCCACAAGTTCATCTTTAGCATACAGACATGAGCTCTAGGATTTAATGGCAGAATAATTGGGGCAATGGCCACGGGTATGCATAATTAAGCAGTACTGGTCCAGTGTGGTCTGGCGACTCATTGTCTCAGCTCTGGTTCTGCAAGACAACCATAGAAGTCCTCTTTGCTTGAGGCAAGCAGCTAGGGAAAGTCTCATCATGGAGTGATATGCCTGTGAAGTTCTGCTCTTTCTGGAATCCTAGGTGGCTACAGATTTGGGACAATGACTGGAGACCTTTGGGCTCCTTTTGTGGAGGGATTCTAGAACAGGAAGTTGTAAAAGATGACAGTAAGATGCCTTGATTATTCTTATCACTGTGCCTTCACCGTTGATGGATTAGGTGACGCCAGTTTTTAGAGAGATGCTTTCTGAGTGATGAACATGCCCGTGGGCAGAGGTAAACCGATAACAGAAAGGAAGGGAGCCATGCAGAATGCAAGTGGAGATGTGCTTGCATATCTCCGGCCGGCCTGCCTGTGCTGCATTGTGGGCCCAGGAGAAAAGTGCTGCTTTTAGCAGGAGCAGCTTCTGATGGTAGTTACAGCTTGGTGGCCAGATGACATCACTTCTTCTCTGGGGAGCACTTGCTGCCTCGATAACAGCCTGGCCACCTGGAGGATGGAGTGCCTCCCACCCGAAGTCCTCCTGGAGAGACACAT